CTGGGGGGGATGAGTTGCTGGGTGGGGGGTGCGTTGCTGGGTGGGCTGCGTTGCTGGGTGGGCTGCGTTGCCGGGTGGGCTGCGTTGCCGGGTGGGCTGCGTTGCTGGGGGTGGCTGCGTTGCCGGGGTGGCTGCGATGCTTGGGGGGCTGCGTTGCCGGGAGGGCTGCGTTGCTGGGTGGGCTGCGATGTTGGGTGGGGTGCGTTGCTGGGGGTGGCTGCGTTGCCGGGGTGGCTGCGATGCTTGGGGGGCTGCGTTGCCGGGAGGGCTGCGTTGCTGGGTGGGCTGCGATGTTGGGTGGGGTGCGTTGCTGGGTGGGCTGCGTTGCCGGGGGGGCTGCGTTGCCGGGAGGGCTGCGTTGCCGAGGGGGCCGCGTTGCCGAGGGGGCTGCGTTGCCGGGAGGGCTGCGTTGCCGGGAGGGCTGCATTGCTAGGTGGGCTGCGTTGTTGGGGGGGGTGCGTAGCTGAGTGGGCTGCGTTGCCGGGGGGGGGGGGGGCTGCGTTGCTGGGTGGGCTGCGGTGCCGGGAGGGCTCCGGTGCTGGGGGTGGGCTGCGTTGCTGGGTGGGCTGCGTTGCCAGGTGGGCTGCGTTGCCGGGAGGGCTGCATTGCTGGGGGCGGGATGCTTTGCTGGGAGGGCTGCGATGCTGGGATGCTGCGTTGCTGGGGGGTGGTTGCGCTGCTGGGGTGCTGCGTAGACCGGCGGGCTGCATTGCCGGGAGGACTGCATTGCCGGGAGGACTGCGTTGCCGGGAGGGCTGCGTTGCCGCTAGGCCTGCATTGCTGGGGGTGGGCTGCGTTGTTGGGTGGGCTGCGTTGCTGGGTGGGCTGCATTGCTGGGTGCGCTGCATTGCTGGGAGGGCTGCGTTGTTGGGTAGACTGCGTTGCTGGGTGGGCTGTGTTGTTTGGAGGGCTGCATTGCTGGAGGGTGTGCTTTGCTGGGAGGGCTGCAATGCTGGGAGGGCTGCGTTGCTGGGTGGGTTGCGTTGCAGGGTGGGCTGCGTTGCTGGGAGGGCTGCGTTGTTGGGGGGGATAAGCTGCTGGGAGAGCTGCGTTGCTGGGGGGGATGCGCTGCTGGGGGGGGCGCGTTGCTGGGGTGGGATGAGTTGCTGGGGGGATGCGTTGCTGGGTGGGGGATGCGTTGCTGGGTGGGCTGCGTTGCTGGGTGGGCTGCGTTGCTGGGTGGGCTGCGTTGCTGGGGTGGCTGCGATGCTGGGGGGGCTGCGTTGCCGGGAGGGCTGCGTTGCTGGGTGGGCTGCGATGTTGGAGGGGGTGCGTTGCTGGGAGGGCTGCATTGCCGGGGGGGCTGCGTTGCCGGGAAGGCTGCGTTGCCGGGGGGGGCTGCGTTGTTGCGGGAGGGCTGCGTTGCCGGAAAGGCTACGTTGTTGGGGGGGGGTGCGTTGCTGGGTGGGCTGCGTTGCCGGGGGGGGCTGCGTTGCCGGGAGGGCTGCGTTGCCGAGGGGGCTGCATTTGCCGAGGGGGCTGCGTTCCTGGGAGGGCTGTGTTGCCGGGAGGGATGCGTTATTGGTGGGGGGATGCGTTGCTGGGTGGGCTGCGTTGCTGGGTGGGCTGCGTTGCTGGGAGTGCTGTGTTGCTGGGAGGGATGCGTTGCTGGGTGGGGGGTGCGTTGCTGGGAGGGCTGCGTTGCTGGGTGGGCTGCGTTGCCGGGTGGGCTGCGTTGCCGGGTGGGCTGCGGTGCCGGAAGGGCTGCGGTGCTGGGGGTGGGCTGCGTTGCTGGGTAGGCTGCGTTGCTGGGTAGGCTGCGTAGCTGGGTGGACTGTGTTGCTGGGAGGGATGCGTTGCTGGGGAGGGGATGCTTTGCTGGGAGGGCTGCGATGCTTGGAGGGCTGCGTTGCTGGGTGGGCTGCGTTGCTGGTGTGTGGTTGCATTGCTGGGGGGCTGCGTTGCCGAGTGGGCTGCGTTGCTGGAGGGCTGCATTGCTGGGTGGCTGCGTTGCTGGTGTGTGGTTGCATTGCTGCTAGGGCTGCATTGCTGGGTGGGTTGCATTGCTGGATGGGCTGCGTTGCTGGGAGGGCTGCGTTGCTGGGGGGATACGTTGCTGGGTGGGCTGCGTTGCTGGGTGGGCTGCGTTGCTGCGAGGGCTGCATTGCTGGGTGGGTTGCATTGCTGGCTGGGCTGCGTTGTTGGGAGGGCTGCGTTGCTGGGAGGGCTGCGTTGTTGGGTAGGCTGCGTTGCTGGGAGGAATGCGTTGCTGGGGGGGGATGAGTTGCTGGGAGAGCTGCGTTGCTGGGGGGGATGCGCTGCTGGGGGGGGTGCGTTGCTGGGGTGGGATGCGTTGCTGGGGGGATGCGTTGCTGGGTGGGCTGCGTTGCTGAATGGGCTGCGTTGCCGTGTGGGCTGCGTTGCTGGGGGTGGCTGCATTGCCGGGGGGGGGCTGCGTTGCCGGGGTGGCTGCGATGCCGGGGGGGCTGCGTTGCCGGGAGGGCTGCGTTGCTGGGTGGGCTGCGTTGTTGGGGGGGGTGCGTAGCTGGGTGGGCTGCGTTGCCGTGGGGGCTGCGTTGTTGCCGGGAGGGCTGCGTTGCCGGAAGGGCTGCATTGTTGGTGGGGGGATGCGCTGCTGTGTGGGCTGCGTTGCTGGGGGGGATGCGCTGCTGGGGTGGGGCGCGTCGCTGGGGTGGGATGAGTTGCTGGGTGGGCTGCGTTGCTGGGTGGGCTGCGGTGCCGGGAGGGCTGCGGTGCTGGGGGTGGGCTGCGTTGCTGGGTGGGCTGCGTTGCTGGTGTGTGGTTGCATTGCTGCTAGGGCTGCATTGCTGGGTGGGTTGCATTGCTGGATGGGCTGCGTTGCTGGGAGGGCTGCGTTGCTGGGGTGGCTGCGATGCCGGGGGGGCTGCGTGGCCGGGAGGGCTGCGTTGCTGGGTGGGCTGCGTTGTTGGGGGGGGTGCGTAGCTGGGTGAGCTGCGTTGCCGGGGGGGCTGCGTTGCCGGGAGGGCTGCGTAACCGAGGGGGCTGCGTTGTTGCCGGGAGGGCTGCTTTGCCGGAAGGGCTGCGTTGTTGGTGGGGGGATGCGCTGCTGGGTAGGCTGCGTTGCTGGGAGGGCTGCGTTGTTGGGGGGGGGATGCGTTGCTGGCTGGGCTGCGTGGCCGGGAGGGCTGCGTTGCTGGGTGGTCTGCGTTGTTGGGGGGGGGGTGCGTAGCTGGGTGAGCTGCGTTGCCGGGGGGGCTGCGTTGCCGGGAGGGCTGCGTAGCCGAGGGGGCTGCGTTGTTGCCGGGAGGGCTGCGTTGCTGGGAGGGCTGCGTTGTTGGGGGGGGGATGCGTTGCTGGCTGGGCTGCGTTGCCGGGGGGGCTGCGTTGCCGGGAGGGCTGCGTTGCCGAGGGGGCTGCGTTGCCGAGGGGGCTGCGTTGCTAGAAGGGCTGCGTTGCCAGGAGGGCTGCGTTATTGGTGGTGGGGCTGCGTTGCTGGGTGGGCTGCGTTGCTGGGTGGGCTGCGTTGCTGGGTGGGCTGCGTTGCTGGGTGGGCTGCGTTGCTGGGTGGGCTGCGTTGCTGGGTGGGCTGCGTTGCTGGGTGGGCTGCGTTGTTGGGTGGGCTGCGTAGCTGGAGGGGATGCTTTGCTGGGAGGGCTGCGATGCTTGGAGGGCTGCGTTGCTGGGTGGGCTGCGTTGCTGGTGTGTGGTTGCATTGCTGGGGGGCTACGTTTCCGGGAGGGCTGCGTTGCTGTGTGGGCTGCGTTGCCAGGTGGGCTGCGTTGCCGGGGGGGGTTGCATTGCCAGGGGGGGGATGCGTTGTTGGGAGGGCTGCGCTGCTGGGAGGGCTGCATTGCCGGGTGGGCTGGGTTGCCGGGGGGTGGCGGGGGGCTGCGTTGCCGGGAGGGCTGCGTTGCCAGGTGGGCTGCGTTGCCGGGAGGGCTGCGTTACTGCTAGGGCTGCGTTGCCGGGAGGGCTGCGTTATTGGTGGGGGGATGCGTTGCTGGGTGGGCTGCGTTGCTGGGAGGGCTGCGTTGCTGGGAGGGCTGCGTTGCTGGGAGTGCTGTGTTGCTGGGAGGGATGCGTTGCTGGGGTGGGTGCGTTGCTGGGAAGGCTGCGTTGCTGGGTGGGCTGCGTTGCTGGGTGGGCTGCAGTGCCGGGAGGGCTGCGTTGCTGGGGGTGGGCTGCGTTGCTGGGAGGGCTGCATTCTTGGGTAGGCTGTGTAGCTGGGTGGGCTGTGTTGTTGGGAGGGTTGCGTTGCCGGAAGGGCTGTGTTGTTGGTGGGGGGATGCGCTGCTGGGTGGGCTGCGTTGCTGGGGGGGATGCGCTGCTGGGGTGGGGCGCGTTGCTGGGGTGGGATGAGTTGCTGGGGGGGATGTGTTGCTGGGTGGGGGGTGCGTTGCTGGGTGGGCTGCGTTGCTGGGTGGGCTGCCTTGCCGGGAGGGCTGCTTTGCCGGGTGGGCTGCATTGCCGGAAGGGCTGTGTTGTTGGTGGGGGGATGCGCTGCTGGGTGGGCTGCGTTGCTGGGGGGGATGCGCTGCTGGGGTGGGGCGCGTTGCTGGGGTGGGATGAGTTGCTGGGGGGGATGTGTTGCTGGGTGGGGGGTGCGTTGCTGGGTGGGCTGCGTTGCTGGGTGGGCTGCCTTGCCGGGAGGGCTGCTTTGCCGGGTGGGCTGCATTGCCGGGTGGGCTGCATTGCTGGGGGTGGCTGCGTTGCCGGGGTGGCTGCGATGCTTGGGGGACTGCGTTGCCGGGAGGGCTGCGTTGCTGGGTGGGCTGCGATGTTGGGGAGGGTGCATTGCTGGGTGGGCTGCGTTGCCGGGGGGGGGGCTGCGTTGCCGGGAGTGCTGCGTTGCCGGGAGGGCTGCGTTGCCGAGGGGGCTGCGTTGCCGGGAGGGCTGCGTTATTGGTGGGGGGATGCGTTGCCTGGTGGGCTGCGTTGCTGGGTGGGCTGCGTTGCTGGGTGGGCTGCGTTGCTGGTATGTGGTTGCATTGCTGGGGGGCTGCGTTGCCGAGTGGGCTGCGTTGCTGGAGGGCTGCGTTGCTGGGCGGCTGCGTTGCTGGTGTGTGGTTGCATTGCTGCTAGGGCTGCATTGCTGGGTGGGTTGCATTGCTGGATGGGCTGCGTTGCTGGGAGGGCTGCGTTGCCGGGGGGGGGGCTGCGTTGCCGGGGTGGCTGCGATGCTGGGGGGGCTGCGTGGCCGGGAGGGCTGCGTTGCTGGGTGGGCTGCGTTGTTGGGGGGGGGGTGTAGCTGGGTGAGCTGCGTTGCCGGGGGGGGCTGCGTTGCCGGGAGGGCTGCGTAGCCGAGGGGGCTGCGTTGTTGCCGGGAGGGCTGCGTTGCTGGGTGGGCTGCGTTGCTGGGGGTGGCTGCGTTGCCGGGGTGGCTGCGATGCTTGGGGGACTGCGTTGCCGGGAGGGCTGCGTTGCTGGGTGGGCTGCGATGTTGGGGGGGGTGCGTTGCTGGGTGGGCTGTGTTGCCGGGGGGGCTGCGTTGCCGAGGGGGCTGCGTTGCCGGGAGGGCTGCGTTGCCGGGAGGGCTGCGTTATTGGTGGGGGGATGCGTTGCTGGGTGGGCTGCGTTGCTGGGAGTGCTGTGTTGCTGGGAGGGATGCGTTGCTGGGGGGGGGTGCGTTGCTGAGAGGGCTGTGTTGCTGGGTGGGCTGCGTTGCTGGGTGGGCTGCGGTGCCGGGAGGGCTGCGGTGCTGGGGGTGGGCTGCGTTGCTGGGTGGGCTGCGTAGCTGGGTGGACTGTGTTGCTGGGAGGGATGCGTTGCTTGGAGGGCTGCGTTGCTGGGTGGGCTGCGTTGCTGGTATGTGGTTGCATTGCTGGGGGGCTGTGGTGCCGAGTGGGCTGCGTTACTGGAGGGCTGCGTTGCTGGGCGGCTGCGTTGCTGGTGTGTGGTTGCATTGCTGCTAGGGCTGCATTGCTGGGTGGGTTGCATTGCTGGATGGGCTGCGTTGCTGGGAGGGCTGCGTTGCCGGGGGGTGGCTGCGTTGCCGGGGTGGCTGCGATGCCGGGGGGGCTGCGTGGCCCGGGAGGGCTGCGTTGCTGGGTGGGCTGTGTTGTTTGGAGGGCTGCATGCTGGAGGGGATGCTTTGCTGGGAGGGCTGCTATGCTGGGAGGGCTGCGTTGCTGGGGGTCGGTTGCGTTTCTGGGGGGCTGCGTTGCCGGGAGGGCTGCGTTGCTGAGGGGGGATGCGTTGCTGGGTGGGCTGCGTTGCTGGGTGGGCTGCGGTGCCGGGAGGGCTGCGGTGCTGGGGGTGGGCTGCGTTGCTGGGTGGGCTGCGTAGCTGGGTGGACTGTGTTGCTGGGAGGGATGCGTTGCTTGGAGGGCTGCGTTGCTGGGTGGGCTGCGTTGCTGGTATGTGGTTGCATTGCTGGGGGGCTGCGTTGCTGGAGGGCTGCGTTGCTGGGCGGCTGCGTTGCTGGTGTGTGGTTGCATTGCTGCTAGGGCTGCATTGCTGGGTGGGTTGCATTGCTGGATGGGCTGCGTTGCTGGGAGGGCTGCGTTGCCGGGGGGGGGGGGGGGGGGGGGGGCTGCGTTGCCGGGGTGGCTGCGATGCCGGGGGGGCTGCGTGGCCGGGAGGGCTGCGTTGCTGGGTGGGCTGCGTTGTTGGGGGGGGGGTGTAGCTGGGTGAGCTGCGTTGCCGAGGGGGGCTGCGTTGCTGGGTGGGCTGTGTTGTTGGGAGGGCTGCATTGCTGGAGGGGATGCTTTGCTGGGAGGGCTGCGATGCTGGGAGGGCTGCGTTGCTGGGGGTCGGTTGTGTTTCTGGGGGGCTGCGTTGCCGGGAGGGCTGCGTTGCTGAGGGGGGATGCGTTGCTGGGTGGGCTGCGTTGCTGGTGGGCTGCGTTGCTGGGTGGGCTGTGTTGCTGGGTGGGCTGCGTTGCTGGGTGGGCTGCGTTGCTGGGTGGGCTGCGTTGTTGGGTGGGCTGCGTTGCTGGGAGGGATGCATTGCTGGGTGCGCTGCGTTGCTGGGAGGGCTGCGTTGTTGGGTAGGCTGCGTTGTTGGGTAGGCTGCGTTGTTGGGTAGGCTGCGTTGCTGGGTGGGCTGTGTTGTTGGGAGGGCTGCATTGCTGGAGGGGATGCTTTGCTGGGAGGGCTACGATGCTGGGAGGGCTGCGTTGCTGGGGGTTAGTTGCGTTGCTGGGGGGCTGCGTTGCCAGGAGGGCTGCGCTGCTGGGGGTGGGTGGCTGCTTTGCCCTGGGGGGGGCTGCGTTGCTGGGGGGGGGTGCGTTGTTGGGAGGGCTGCGCTGCTGGGAGGGCTGCGTCGCTGGGAGGGCTGCATTGCCGGGTGGGCTGCGTTGCCGGGGGGTGGGTGGGGGCTGCGTTGCCGGGAGGGCTGCGTTGCCTGGTGGGCTGCGTTGCCGAGGGGGCTGCGTTGCCGGGAGGGCTGCGTTGCCGCTAGGGCTGCGTTGCCGGGAGGGCCGCGTTATTGGTGGGGGGATGCGTTGCTGGGTGGGCTGCGTTGTTCAGAGGGCTGCGTTGCTGGGAGGGCTGCGTTGCTGGGAGTGCTGTGTTGCTGAAAGGGATGCGTTGCTGGGGTGGGTGCGTTGCTGGGAAGGCTGCGTTGCTGGGTGGGCTGCGTTGCTGGGTGGGCTGCGTTGTTCAGAGGGCTGCGTTGCTGGGAGGGCTGCGTTGCTGGGAGTGCTGTGTTGCTGAAAGGGATGCGTTGCTGGGGTGGGTGCGTTGCTGGGAAGGCTGCGTTGCTGGGTGGGCTGCGTTGCTGGGTGGGCTGCGGTGCCGGGAGGGCTGCGGTGCCGGGAGGGCTGCGTTGCTGGGGGTGGGCTGCGTTGCTGGGTGGGCTGCGTTGCTGGGTGGGCTGCGTTGCTAGGTGGGCTGCGTTGCTGGGAGGGCTGCGTTGCTGGGAGGGCTGCGTTGCTGGGAGGGCTGTGTTGTTGGGTAGGCTGCGTTGCTGGGAGGGATGCATTTCTGGGGGGGATGAGTTGCTGGGGGGGCTGCGTTGCTGGGAGAGCTGTGTCGCTGGTAGAGCTGCGTTGCCTGGTGGGCTGCGTTGCCGGGGTGGTGGGGGGGGCTGCGTTGGCGGGAGGGCTGCGTTGCCAGGTGGGCTGCGTTGCCGAGGGGGCTGCGTTGCCGGGAGGGCTGCGTTGCTGGGTGGGTTGCGTTGCTCGGTGGGCTGCGTTGCTGGGAGGGCTGCGTTGCTGGGTGGGCTGCGTTGCTGGATGGGCTGCGTTGCTGGATGGGCTGCGTCACTGAGTGGGCTGTGTTGCTGGATGGGCTGTGTTGCTGGGAGGGCTGCGTTGCTGGGTGGGCTGCATTGCTGGGTGGGCTGCGTTGCTGGGTGGGCTGCGTTGCTGGGTGGGCTGCGTTGCTGGGTGGGCTGCGTTGCTGGGTGGGCTGCGTTGCTGGGTGGGCTGTGTTGCTGGGAGGGCTGTGTTGCTGGGAGGGCTGTGTTGCTGCGGGCAATACTCACTGCAGCTGAAGCATCCACTTGTGGAAGAGGCTGTTTGAGCGGCGCTGCAGCCGCTCCAGCTCTGTGGTGAAGGGCGAGCAACTTTCCCCCAACAGCTCTCTCAGCACCACCTGTGGTACATCAGAGAGTCACCCCGGCCCACCTCCCCCAGCCACGCCATCCCCACCCCCTCCCCGCCCCTCCCCAGGCCACCACTCCTCCCCAGCCCTCCCCAGGCCACCACTCCTCCCCCAGCCCCTCCCCCCCCTCCCAGGCCACCACTCCTCCCCAGCCCCTCCCCGCCCCCTCCCCAGGCCACCACTCCTCCCCCAGCCCCTCCCCGCCCCCTCCCCAGGCCACCACTCCTCCCCAGCCCCTCCCCGCCCCTCCCCAGGCCACCACTCCTCCCCCAGCCCCTCCCCAGGCCACCACTCCTCCCCCAGCCCCTCCCCGCCCCTCCCCAGGCCACCACTCCTCCCCAGCCCCTCCCCGCCCCTCCCCAGGCCACCACTCCTCCCCAGCCCCTCCCCGCCCCCTCCCAGGCCACCACTCCTCCCCCAGCCCCTCCCCAGGCCACCACTCCTCCCCCAGCCCCTCCCCGCCCCCTCCCCAGGCCACCACTCCTCCCCCAGCTCCTCCCCAGGCCACCACTCCTCCCCAGCCCCTCCCCGCCCCTCCCCAGGCCACCACTCCTCCCCCAGCCCCTCCCCAGGCCACCACTCCTCCCCAGCCCCTCCCCAGGCCACCACTCCTCCCCCAGCCCCTCCCCAGGCCACCACTCCTCCCCCAGCTCCTCCCCAGGCCACCACTCCTCCCCCAGCCCCTCCCCGCCCCCTCCCCAGGCCACCAGCTCCGCCCACCACAATCCCCACCCACCGTCCCACGCCTCGCCCTGCCTACTGCCTCAGCCCCACCCCCAGCCCAGCCTCACGCTCCTTCCCTGGCTCCAACCACTGCCCCTCCCCAGTCCATCCCAGTCACGCCCGCCACCCCTCCCCCTCATTGACCTGATCCAGCCTCGGAGTCTTCAGCTTCTGCAGTGTGAGGTCAGAGGTCAGCACCTTGCCACTACTGTGAGCCTCAAAGTATTCCTCCACCAGGTTCGGCTGCAAGAGAGAGAGAGATATCCATAACTCACACACAGAGCAATGTGTTTCCAGGACCAGCTGACCCTGATCAGCTGGTCATTTTGTTTGGTTGGCTGGGATCAGCCTGACACGTGAGGAAACCCTTCACCGTGTTTAAGAGTCTCCAAAACAAACTGAGAATTTCCTGCATCCCACCTGCACATGGAAATCCCAGAGATAGATTGTTGGAATGGAATGCCCACTCTCTCTCTCTCTCTCCCTGGAGGGATGCGTCCTGCTTACCTAAATCCGGAGAGTATTAGGTGCAGGTTGGCAACAGCCAAGGCTTTTGACAAGAGCCAAGTTGTGGCACCTCAGAGTGTGCGTTGGGGTATTGCTGGAACCGCATAGCTTGCCACTGAAAGCACGTTCTGGCAAGCTTTCCCACTGCTTGTCTAGCTAGGACTTCCCTAGCCATTAGGGGTTTGGCTTGCTGGGTTAACGGGAGCTGAGTGGTAAGAGTCCCTGCCCCCAGTTGATCACAGATATTTTTGGGGGGTGTGGGGTTAGGCGGGTGTCTTATTCAGCATCCAGTGAGACCCATTAGAAGGAGATCTCAGTGCCTTGGGAGGTCAGTCCCACACATAGCCAGACAACCACAATCAAAAGGCATCTGAGACATTGCATTACAGAACCCACTGTTAGCTGAGGATTTCATAATACCTGAATTTGATTCAGCACCTTTCAGGTCAAGAGGATGTCCCAATGCACTTCACAGGATTTACTGTGTAGTGTAGTAACTATATTTATCGGAGAACGCCACCAATTGCTATATAGCAATGTCAAACAACAGTTAGGGTGCTAAACAGTGAGAAGGATAGCAGCCAATTGCAGGAAGACATAGACAGAATGGTAAAATGGGCAGACACATGGCAGATGAATTTCAATGTGGAGAAATGCGAGGTAATGCATTTTGGTAGAAAGAATGAGGGGAGGCAATATAGACTGGTAATACAATCTTAAGAGGGGGTGAAGGAACAGAGAGACCTGGGGGTTCAGGTAAATGAATCCTTGAAGGTGGCAGGACAGGTAGATAAAGCTGTAAAAAGGCCATATGTGATACTAGGCTTTATAAGTAGGGGCATAGAGTACAAGAGTCAGGAGGTTATGATTAACCTATATAAAACACTGGTTAGGCCTCAGTTAGAATACTGCGCCCAGTTCTGGGCACCACACTATCGGAAGGATATTAAGGCATTGGAAAGGGTGCAGAGGAGATTTACGAGGATGGTACCAGGAATGAGGGACCTTGATTATGAGGAAAGGCAAGAGAGGTTAGGATTATTCTCATTGGAGCAGAGAAGGGTATGAGGAGACTTAATAGAGGTTTTCAAAATCATGAGGGGATTTGATAGGTTAGAAAGGGAAAAACTGTTTCCACTGGTGGGTGTGTCGGTGACTCGAGGTCACAGATTTAAAATAGTCTCTAAAAGAAGCAGAGAGGAGGTGAGAAGACATTTTTTCAATCAGCGAGTTGTTCAAATCTGGAACGCATTGCCTGAAAGGGTAGTGGAGGCCGATTCGATAACTACTTTTAAAAACGCGGTGGATGGATATTTGAGGAGGATGGGTTTGCCGGGTTATGGGGAAAGGGCTGGGGAGTGGGATTGACATTACATTGATCTATTCAAAGATCCGGCACAGACTCGATGGGCCGAATGGCCTCTTTTTGTGCTGTACAATTCTATGATTCTATAATTCTATGATAACCATGGAGTGAGTCACCAATTTTATCTGAGGAATTGCTGGACACCAGGACATCGAGAAAGAGAAACTCTTGTTTTTTTTGAACAGTGCTACGGGATCTTTAACATCCACCTGAACAGACAGATGGGACCTCTGACAATGCAATGCTTCTTCAGAAATGCACTGCAGTGTCAACCTGGACTGTGTGAGTTCAGGTC